ATAAATTGAGCGATAGACTTTGACTTCGATTCGCCCAATTTTTCCTCGAGATTTTCTTTAAAAGGTATTTTCACAACGTAACTGCCGTCGTCACGTCTTGAGGTTGTATTCTGAAAAAACTCTATACAATTTTGATCTTCCTGTGACATATTTAAGGGTTCATGAATATCTTCCACTTCCCAAAACCTTTGGATATCGTTATTAAGGATTATATTACACTGATAGGTTTTATAATTACCGGTTATTATCCATCCCAACTGCGTTTGTTGCGCAATCGGAAACCTTTCTTGAAATCTACAAATACCGTCCAAGATAATATCAGAATAAACATCAGCGCCGAATAATATATCAATAGGGCTACTTTTATAAAATTCTGAATCAGCTAATATTATATGATTAAGCTCAGGCCAATTTGGTTTTGGCAGGGTATAGCTCGGTAAGTTCCTTACAAGTTTTTTCATAATAAATACATCCGTGTTAAAGGTATAATCATTGACTATCGATAAACACTTGATAGAGATTTTGCCCTTGCAATTGTTTTCTGTATTTCCTATCCCAGAAATGTAACCATTACATTTTTGTCGAGGTATTTTTAATAATTGAGCAGCATTTTCACTGATAATTGAGATTTGTGAGCCCTGATCTAAAAGAGCTCTCATATTTTTATAAGATCCATCCGCTGCCTGTATCTTAATAATGACAGTGGCAAGTAATATTTCGGCAGGGTCACTTGGAAGAGATACTAATGTGTTAATTTCTTGTTGTTGAGGTAAATGTTTCACAACCCGGGGCACGTGTAACCTAGATCGTGAAACTTCCGGTGTCATATTATCTTTTGTAAAACATTCATGTAAAATTGTATTATGATTTTTATTACATTCCTTGCACATTAATTGCGAAAGGCATTTTTTACCTTCATGATAATGTAAACAGTTGATACAAAGGTTCAATTTTGCAATAGCATTTCTTCGTGCGATAGGCTGCATATTTAATAATTTTTGGCATAAATGTATACGATGATCGCTTGAATTACACACCGGACACAGCTTGCGTTTTTCAATAATTTTATTACTGGAATGTGTCGGTTGCGAAATAACCTGATTTGTAGAATAAGTATACTTAGGATTATTATAACTTTGTCTAAAGTTATGATTAAAATTTTTCGAAGATGATGATTGATTATTTAAATTTTTTGAAGGTTTATATTGATTGAAGTTATGATATGACACTTTTGGGGTGTGATTTTCTTGCTTCTTCCGTGAAGTTTCTAGGGTCATAAACTTAGTTTCTAAAAACTGCAAAAAATCTTGTAATACGGGTAATTCTCTCGGCGATTTCAAAGACTGTATATATTCATTGTACGTGTCTGCGTCTAACTTCTGAGACAATATACATACAAGGAAGGGATCCCAGGAAGAAACATTAATTCCAAGATTTTCTATCGCATTTATACTCTCGTTTGTAACATCGTGAATGCGTTTGATATGATTATACGACTGGTATTGAATATTAGGAATATTTAAGAGATTGTTAAGGTGAGATGTAAAGATTAGACGCTTATTATCATAGCGATGACTGAGAATATTCCAGCTTATGAGATAATTATCTGAGCTTACCTGGAGATGTTGAATCAACTTCTCAGGTTCACCCTTAACCTTACTTTTGAGAAATTGTAATTTCTGCGCATTTGAAAGAGATGGGTTACTATGAATAGTTTCCGTAAAGAGATCTTTGAAGGAAACCCATTGGTTATAATTTCCCTCGAAGGTTGGTAACTCCATTTTAGGGGTTGTTTTCTCGATGTGTGATACCGACCACATCTTTTTATTGATATCCTTCTTAACTTTAATGTAATATTTTTCGTAATTTGTAAATTGCTCTTCATATTCTCGGTTGGAACCACAAAGTTCATTGTCCAACTCCCAATGTAAGCTATCAATTGCAGTCCAACGGACTTGCAAGGTCTTTAGGATGTCTTCTAACTCCCACTTTTCCGAGATAAGGTCAAGTTCTATACTCGAGGCAGTTCTTAGAAAAGCTTTAAAATTTGTAGTTTGTTTTCTCATGAGCTCTTCTGTTTTACTCTTATTAGAGTTATTTTTGAGAGATATTTCCTGAGATTCATTGGAGGTCGATGCGTTAGAGGTAGACGGGGCTTGAAACGTTGGAGGTTGTAATTCAGGGGATTTTGTAATGCTTGCCAAAGGCTTATAATTTATTAAAGTTGTCTTAATATTACCATATTTTTTCTTAATCTGCTCGTATTTATTAAAAGTAAAATATTCATGAGACTGATCACTAAAAGATAAAAGTGTCATATGGTTATTATGAATATCTGTAAAATATTGTTCTAACGTTTCTAAACGACGACGTATATAATCGGGAGTCTTTCGCTCCGCTCCATCCTTCTTAAAGTTGATATAAAGCTTATCCACTGCGTCCACCAACTGCTGTTGGGTAGCTAAAATATCTTCCATTGTGGACATAATTAATGATTATCAGAGATAACAATATAACCTTACTTGTTCAGCTGATAAGTTGCTCAAGATATCCTCGCAATACCTGCAAGGTTGTACTGAATCCGAGATGTAGTGTGCCTTCCTGAGGCACCGAAGTCACGAGGTAAAGAGATGTAGTGCCTTCCTAGGGCACCGAGGTCACGAAGTGAAGAGATGTAGTGTGCCTTCCTAAGGCACCGTGGTCACGAGGTAAAGAGATGTAGTGCTTTCCTAAGGCACCGAGGTCACGAGGTGAAGAGATGTAGTGTGCCTTCCTAAGGCACCGAGGTCACGAGGTGAAGAGATGTAGTGTGCCTTCCTAAGGCACCGAGGTCACGAGGTAAAGAGATGTAGTGCTTTCCTAGGGCACCGAGGTTACGAGGTGAAGAGATGTAGTGCTTTCCTAGGGCACCGAGGTTACGAGGTGTACAAATGTTGAGGTATATTGCCTTTCTTAGGCAATGTGATTAGGATAAAAGAGGTGTATCCATAAATCGTAGTTCTAGATGTATTCTTTTGAAACGCAGGTATCAGTATAACACACACACTAAGCACAATATTGCGAAAGTACACGCGCCCTGATCCTGCCACAAATACGACTAATGGCTCGAAGGACCAATGTTCGGGGTTGGGATAAATTATTAAGATATTTAAAGGGATAATTATTTATTTTATGAGCAATGGACTAAACTAGTGGGGTGAGATGAGATAAGAGTCGCGCCCGGTACAAGGTCTAAATGAGAACTAACTTAAGTGAATATAATAAGATATAATGGAAATGAACACACAAGCAAATCATATTGCATGGTGTCATTTACATTGCAAATACCTGTACGGTTGTAAATCGTACAATGTATTTTAATTAACTGCCATCTTTGGGAACTTAATTGAACTATAACAAGATATATACATACGCTCATTAGTCTATTCCCCTTAAAGCCAAAAATCATATTAAACGTTATATAATATATATATATATGAAACAATACTATAATAATTACAATATATTATTATAGCAAGAAAACACTGTCGTGAAATTTTGAAAGAGATTTTTTTTATGTTTAACGTTTTTTAACGATTCTTATACGGTTTAGTATTTTAAGGCTTACTAAAGTAAATTCAAACTAAATAAAATCAATAGGTACCTACTTATTTTTTAAATAAATTTTAAAACCGCTGTCTAGATTTATAAAAAATAATCATTATTTCTGAATAATTCTGATTGCCATAGGAATTCAGAGAACAGTAGGTAGAGAGAATGTTTGAAAATCGAAAGAGGGTTATAGACGAAGAAAAAGGGTTTTTTCCAGTAAAAGCATAAAAGCATAATTAAGAAATTATACTCTACTAGCCTTAACACAATGAACCACCGATATGAGCTAGCAATGAGATCACGGATCAAATCACGCAAGTCGTGAAAACAACAGGGTGCGCGCAGGCGCGAATCAGCAGACATTGGGCAGCGGGCGGATGCAAGCAGCAGTCGAGTCCACGACGCGCCGCGCGCTCGCTTACTTCGGCGCGCTGTAATGTACGCTTTACGCGCGCTGCACACGCTCAGGTGGGAATATCTCTAGTATTACGTGTACATTCAGACCTTGACTCCTGGTACCACAATCACGTACATTTGTCATCGAATTGTATCCCTACTATTTATTATATTACAGAGTGTTCACGTGAAAGTATATTATCTGTAAATCATAGTGACCTAATCCTACTAACGAATTTACTATTGATATTAATTACAAATTGCTGTAAAAGTGTTATTTGTATTTATAGTATTACTAATGGCTATTTACACAATATGAGTATGTTATTTTATATACCCACTATATATCTAGAAAAACAAATACTCAATGTATAGAAAAATCGTAAAATCAATTTTATTTTTTATAAATTATAATAAATCTTTCGTTTGGATCTCTCTACCATGATTTGATCAATTAGTAGAAATATCATTGTCAAACATTTTAGTATAGTGGATACTGATTTTATTACATTAATAATTATTATAATTAACAAAAAACTCACAGGACATAATCTTATAATCAATGTTAGAATGGCGAATATATTTCATTCAATAATATATTTATAACTGTACCTAAAACTTAGAATTCACATATGTGTTATTCCTTTTTAAAACAATATTAAAATGTGGTTTTCGTCTTTAATTCTGTCGCTTATTTAAAATAACAACACAATATTTCCTGTTATCACGTAGATAAACTGTAGTCAGGTATATTTACATCTTAAAAATATATTATCTAATTCGGTTGTATGTTAAGTCAGTTCAACGATTAATTAGAAAATATATATATATTAAGTAGAAAGTCATAAACAAAAATAAACTTAAATCGATGTGTTGTAGTGAAAGAGAGGTCTCGGTCCAGTTTGATGTGGCGCGGTGAAGTGTGGAGGACGCGGCCAAGCGTGTAATCGACACACTGCCCTCATGAGGGCCGCCCCGTAGCGCCCGCAGCGCCCCATAGTGCCATTGGGGTCATGCTCGCTGCTGCTCTCGCGACGCTATCCATCATCGCTGCCCTCGTCATCGCCACCACCGCTGCTGTGCCGCTGCTCCTGGTGCTTCGCTCGGCCTGTCGATTTAACGACACCTCTTTGTTCTCGGAATCGGCTCTCGAGAGTTTTATCGCGTCGTCTGGGCGAATTACACCACCGCGGCCCTTTACAGTTCTGAACTACAACGGTTTGTAAATAATTTATATTTCACTATAATTAATAAATACTTATAACCATTCTGAGTTGGAACTCATGCGAGAAAATAAATGATTTTTTCCTTCTCGAAAAACACACATGAATTCATGTTGTTGCAGAGACGTGTGGTACAGGATGGCAGCAGCACGTTGCGACAGCTGGTTTAAAGGTAGCAGTTCAAGGTGGGGTTGTGGTAAGTGCAGGATGGGGCGGCGCCGCCTTGTGTGGTGCGCTGTCCATGGTGAGTCGTGCGCCACCCTCCTGCGCTGAACCTCACGCGCGGGCTGCTGCGCTGGCTGCACTTGCCCTTCGCCTGCGTTGGCGGAGTGCTACATTGCTGGCGCATAGGCACCAACAATCGGATCTTTGCAAATCTATACTGACAGCAGTGGAACGAGCCCTTCTTGATATAGGCTTACAACTGCGCCAAAGAGATATTCAATCTAAATATAATGAGCAAACATACAGTAAGTATAATTACGGATTTATTTGTTTAAAATTATTATTTTATATTATTCCTAATTCAAATAATATTCTAGAAAAGAACTAGAAATGCGAAACTATAATTAGAGTAAGTTTAGAAATATGTAATAAATGAACCTTCCGGCATTGAGTGTCCATGGGTGGCGGTATCACTTACCATCAGGTTAGCCTCCTGCCCGTTTGCCCCCTGTTCTATAAAAAAAAGTTAACTTTTCGTGGCAAATAATTAATTAAAACATATTTGTTACGTCAAAAAATTGTTACGCCATGGCTATCAAATTATTTAATCACCTTCCAATCACTGCCATGCTATTATAATGATAATTAATATGACATTTGCATGCCAATTTTTTTATGGCTGATTGTGTTTTTAATCGATCTAAATGTACTTTCTTTGCAAATAAACGATTTATATATTATTTTACAGTTTCTATTATCTGCGATGATCAAAACTATGATCAACAGAACAAAAAGTATGGAGTTCACCCCTTGTTAATAGTACGGCGACCGTTTGTTTCGACCATTATGCCTTCTGCGAGACATCGATCTTTTGCGTACGTTTATGATAGTTTAAAATTACAAAATGATTTAACTAACAATACAGAAACGAAAATAAGATCAAGATCTACTCGCAATGATTCAGAGCGACAGTTAGAATGGGCCGAAATTTTTCCATATTATAATATAAATTCTACAAGATCTCCAGCTTCGATGGCTTCAGTTGACATAGATAAAATTAAACAAAATACGAAATTTATAGAACTCGACCCCGTGGATTATCTTAACAGCCTGCTATTCATTGAACACGCTCCGATCGACGCGTATAACCACTTACTTAGAGCACCGTATAACAATACCGAAGCCATCATGTACTCTTTTGATTTATACGAGAGTAAAATGTTCGAGGGATCAGCTTCCTGGGAGCTGGTTACAACTTCGTTAACAGAGACCACCCAATCGGCAGATGACAGTTGGCACACGGACGTGAGGTGGGAAGGGGGTAGTGAATTCGAGGCGTGGTGTATAGATCACGCAGAAGTGAATCAAGAGATTGGAGAAGAGCGTATGCCAGGAGAGGCAGTCTGCGCGGTTGGAGCAGCGGGTGCGGCAGGTGCAGCCCTAGCCGCAGTTATGGTTACTGTAGTTGTTCTGCGGCGTGCAATCAGTTGGCGGCATGGCGTGCGAAGGCGTCCACGTACTGCTGTCGTGCTAGCGCCGGTGGACTTCGAGTTCCCGGCTGACGAGCAGCGGCGCTTGGGTGAGGGGATGGAAAGTGTGTTAAGCTGGTTGCAACAACTACACGATCTGCCCGACCAGCCTGACTTACTGAAGCGACCGCTCGCTCCCTCGGCACCGTCATCAGTGTGTAGTGTTTCGAGGCTGTCGCCCGATGGAAGGATTCGGTACAAAGTAATAAAGTATAACGCAATTAGTATTACACAATTTAAGTATTATGGCGTCAGTTTGAAAATAAAGTTTTTTTACAGGGGGATCCGGTTCATATGAAGTACCTGCCTGTGGCTACATTAGACCTTAAACGAAAGGCTATCGATGTTTTACTTGTTATGCAAAGCTTGCGACATGAAAATCTCAATATTTTTATTGGTAAGTACTATAACATATCGCTGACACTAACAAGCTGCTATTTTAATGTGGTCGAAACTTAGATTAAAAACTAAAAAAAGAAAAAAAAAATGTGCCTGTCACACGCCGTCATAATTTTGGGTTTAAGGCAACCTGGTTTACTGACAATGTTTTCTTTCACCGTCCGAGCGAATGTTAAATGCGCACATAGATAGGAAAGTTGGTGCACAGCCGGGGATCGAACCTACGACCTCAGAAATGACAGTCGCACGCTGAAGCCACTAGGCCAATACTGCTCTGATTAAAAACTAGAGCAGTTCCTATTCTGATTGACTCTCGTCATTTTGACAGATGTTCATTTGTTTCCCATCTAAGAAAGTTCATTCATACTTAAACATCTCGAGTTATAAGTACGCTGACTGGAGGTAACGAGAGCGTATATTTAGTACTACTACAGTATGTGTGTGTAGGGTGTGTCTGTGTTGCACGACCTGCATTGGTGTACGGTGCGGGAGCACGCGGCTCCCTTCAAGCAGTATTGCAGGCGGATGAGCTGCGGCTAGATTGGACATTTCGGCTGTCACTGCTGACGGACCTGGTTAGAGGAATGCGCTATCTACACGCGTCACCACTGCGCGCCCATGGCTGCCTTACGTCACGTGCCTGTCTTGTCGATGCGCGGTGGGTGCTGCGAGTGTCAGACTATGGTGTCGCACAGCTAGGGCATGCTCAGGCGATGCCCATAGGTCTACGCTGCCCCCGCGACTTGCTATGGAGTGCGCCTGAGGTGCTTCGAGTTGGCGATGTAATGCCCCCAACTCAGTCAGCAGACGTGTTCTCCTTTTCTATTATCATGCAAGAAGTCATTGTTCGAGGGGAACCCTACTGTATGCTCAGCTTTACGCCTGAAGGTAATATTTTCACAGCTCGCGTCAAAACTTAGAGTTGTATCAGTGTCATAATGGTTCATATTTATTTATTTACACTTCGTTACCTTATACAAAAAGAAACATATAAAAAAGCAGGTTAAATAAGTTATTAGGCAACGGGCGGCCTTATCGCTAAGAAGCGATTTCTTTCAGGCAACCCAAATATGGAACTATAAAAAAAGAAACACCTACAGAGGGTAAAGTACAAGAAGTGCATAAATAATTAACAAAAATTCAATCTCAAAATAACATATTTACACTACCAATAACTAAAATAAAGTAAAATCTAAACAAAAAGCAATAATATGTAAAAACAAACATGTAGCTAATTACGAGGCAGAAGAAAAATTATCAAAATGAACAGTGGCGTAGCTATACCATCTAGGGCCCGTGGAAAATTCTTTTGATGGGGACCTATCAGTAAAAATCGTCACGTAATATACTTACTATATCATAAACTTTGAGATTTTCAGCGTACGTAATTACGCGTTGTATATGTCCCAATAAAGCCATAGGCCTCCTCTCTTAGGCGAGAGGGAATGGTCTGTAGTGCCCACGCTAGCCCAATACGTATTGGAGACTTTACATTCATCCATAGAACATAATATCTCTTGGGCGGGTCGGGGGCCCGTGGCATTTTGCCAGCCCTGCCACCCTTTTGTTACGCCACTGAAAAAGAAGATTTTTATATAAATTTAAAAACAGCTGGTCTTATATCACATTATAGTTCGTTCATATTATAGTGGCTGTCACGTAATTTCATGTAATCTTTTTGTATAGAAATAGTGGAGAAACTGTGTCGTCCACCGCCATTAATCCGACCGTCAGTGTCTATTGGTGCAGCGCCGCCTGAAGCGGTCAGTATTATGCGTCAGTGCTGGAGCGAGCAACCTGAACATCGCCCTGACTTTGACCGTCTTCACGAGGTTTTTCGCCAATTGCACAGTGGACGGTACTGACTGACTCATCTACAGTTTAAAATTTACTTTAAGCATCTCACGATGAACTTTATTGTTTTAGAAAAGTTAACATCATGGATTCAATGTTTGAAATGTTAGAAAAATATAGCAATAATTTAGAAGAACTGATAAAGGAACGAACAGAACAGTTGGACATCGAGAAGAAAAAAACGGAACAGTTGCTAAACAGAATGCTTCCCAGGTAAAATGGTGTTCCCATACCGGCTACCGGAATTGGTTCCGAGGACATTTATTTATTTAACATTTTTAACATTAACAGAGAAACATTACAATGATTAAAGAGATAACTTATACATTAAAAATAAAAGACAAACTAGATTAAGAAACACAAATTTGCTATTTAAACATTTAATATATTTCTACTTTGCAATTGTTACTATTGGTGACGGATCAATAGCGGCTGCAGCATTTTATTTTATTTTATTTTATTTATGCATTTTTACGCATTCTTGTTTGTTAGTTTATATAAAAATATTAGTGGTAGTAGTGGGTGGTACACCTAGCATCATCTGGTGAGTTGTGTAAGTCACATGTATCTATTGAGTGTATTTCAATAAATCAACTGATTTTCGTTCCAAGACTTCCAAGTCAAACAACACACCCACATTGTTTCATTAGGTTATGGGCCCAGATTTATGGTCTTCAAGTTTTTTTTAGCTAATTATCGCGAAGGTTTAAAAGTTATCAAGTTATTTATTAGTACTCTTAACCGAAGTCAGTCCGACTCATTATATATAATATTATGGTAAACCATAGTAAGATATTATGGACTATTTAATACTACTTAGTGAATGTAATTCTTTGAGAAATAAAGTATATTTGAACCGAAGTTTTCTTATCTAGGACCGTGGCAGAGCGGTTACTGCTAGGACTGCGCGTGGAACCCGAAATGTTCGAAGAGGTGTCAATTTACTTCAGCGATATCGTGGGTTTCACTTCTATTGCTGCGAAAGCAACGCCCGTGCAAGTTGTCGACCTCCTTAATGACTTATATACTACTTTTGACGCAGCCATCGAACAATACGCTGTATACAAGGTAAGAACTACAATTTTATTCTTCTAGCTTTTATTCGAGATAGGTGAGTTTATTCAAAAATCATTTATTCATATAGGTAACAAAATGTACACATATGAACGTCAAAAAATAAATATATATGAAATGCTTCTAATTTTACATTTACTGCCAGTTCTCAAATCAAGGGCGTAGAACTGGCAATAAACTCTCCGCCAATCTTTTTAATCGCCAAGTTTTTTGTTTACACAATGTTTGTAAGGAGCTGCAACCATTACACCATGTTCCACATGACATCTTAAGTAATTAATAATAATAAAATAAATTAAAAACAAAGATTTGTCCTCTATCAGCATGTAGTAGGCATGGTGAAGTAGGAGCACACACTTACATTCTCGTGGGAACAACACGCAAATACATAGTCGAAATAACTAACATCACCATCACCATCATACACGAATTCAAGTCAGACCAGTCACGAGTATGACGCATGGCCAGCCATCGGCCCCCTCGATGCTATAGTAGCTCCGATTGCAGGTGGAGACAATTGGTGATGCGTATATGGTAGTCGGCGGTCTGCCAATACGTAGTACGGACCATGCTCAGGCAGTTGCTACTATGGCGTTACATTTGCTGCACTTAGCTGGTCGGTTCCGTATAAGGCATTCGCCATCCACCCCGCTGCATCTGCGAATTGGATTGCACACTGGACCCTGCTGTGCTGGCGTAGTGGGACTTACGATGCCGCGATACTGTTTGTTTGGAGATACCGTCAATACGGCTTCTCGTATGGAGTCAACGGGAGCGGCATGGCGAGTGCAGGTATCCACTGCGACTGCAGAAAGATTAGCGGCGGCAGGCGGATTTCGTTTGCGCTCGCGTGGCCTCACGCAGATCAAGGGAAAGGGTGCTATGCACACCTACTGGCTACTGGGCAAGGAGGGCTTTGACAAGCCACTTCCCACGCCCCCTCCACTAGAGTAAGTACACCTCTTCATTTGTTTCGTTGATGCTGTTCACTTACTTTCACATATGTGTGTCTTAGTAACGACATCAATGACAACGTTTCTTCTATTTTTTTAGGTCTGAAGAGGTACTGTTCGAAACAGACGGGGAGAATGACAGTGAATCGTCTGATATCACCAACGTTGTGGATCTCGGCCGAACGCTCACAGCCCCCCAGCAGACAGTAGAGCGCCAGAGCTCTGACCCCTGCGCCCAATTCCTCGGTAACAGTCTTTAAATAGCAAAGATCCGAAAGATCTACGGAAGGACGTTAATGTCACCGACTAGTTTAACTTCAAATCATATAAACGTACTTATATAATATATTGGATATACAAAAGTTTAAATTTGCTAATAAAATTATTACATAGGTGAGGGGAGCCAAGGTGGTCTGTCTGCGGAGAGCAGCCCATGCTTACGTTCAGTGGTAGATGGGGTGCGGGGTAGCGCCACACTTGGAAGAAGTATGGCAATAAGCGGACGAAACGGCGCAGGAGCAGCGCGCTTTCGCTATCTACGTTCCTCCCTTTCCAGCTGCTCAGTGGCGGGATCGCTAGAAGCGCCAGCACCGCGCGTTTTGCGGCGGCAATGGTCGCTGGAGCGTGGGGATTCTCTAGCGGCGGCGGCAGCGGGCCCAGATAGCGGAACCATGGCGCTAGAGCCGCTGGCGTTGAGAGCTCCCCCCCCACGTCCAGCGCCTCCACGCTATAGAACCCGCGCCGACACCGAGCGCTGACCTCACCCTACTCAATGTGTCCCCGACAATAATTACTTTTACGCAATAATTCGTCACGTCCCAGCCTAGTACAAGGATCCCTGGAAGGCTAGAGTCGTTCGATAAAGAAAAAATATTATAATAATTACGTTTCTAGAGTGAACTAACCTTTTATATTCCATACGAATCAACTCTTGTCAAGGTCATTCCCGTGGTACCTTCTATTCCTAGTGTAGTCCTCGTAAGTATTGTTGTGATTTATGAATAAAAATAATTATTATCAATAGATTGTAGATATTGTGTACTTTCACTGTCGATGTCGATTATTCATATTTTTTATGAGTGCTCCTCGAGTTTAACAATTTCTACTCGACAAATCTTGTATTTTTGAAATTTTTCATCTGAATAAATCTTATAATTATACTATGCTTATTTATTCCTCGTGATATTATCTTATAAGACTGTAGTCAATAATCTAGGGGAGAAATTTTAGTTTGATAAAAGCGCCACCTATGGGTCACAAAATGCAGTAAAAGAGCCTAGAACCTACTCTATACAGTTGATTAGTTTATGCACATCTAGCAGTCTAGAAATACAGTGCGTACACACGATTTTTTATTTCGTAGGAACAAAAGATATAGAAACGCCAGAGCTATCTTAGTATAGCAATTTAACACAGCGTAATACGCTCAAAGCGTTGGATCTCATTCAGCTTACACCAAAATCTGCTAGATGTCGTTAATATAAATTTATAAAGTAGAGCTGAAACGAAATCAATAATTTAAGAAGATATTTTATTAATACTTTGTTCTATATTTTGAACTACACAATTATTCTAACGGTTCACGCGGTGGCAGGCGTGCATGGATATGCTAAACTGGCAATTCTTTCAGATGTTACATATGAAATATTTTTTTTTACATTAACAAACTATATTATTCTCTACAATTTTGTAAGATGTAGGAAATATCTTAAAACATTATAACAGTAATCGTGTTACGTTTATAACATCGAATTTATTTCCGCATGGTCGTTGGCAGTAACACAGTTAGAGAGTTGTTAGGAGAGGAGATAAGAGGAAGACAATCTAAAAGTTAAACAATTAATAAAACGTTTACTTTTAGTATTATTAAAAATAAATTCCCAACAAAAATAAACGAAAGTAATCTTTATTCAGATCGCTGGAATTCAAATTTATAATTACCGTAAATCTACTGGAATTTATTGTATTGGTAAGTGCTGGGGCGGTGGGGCGCGGGCGGCAGCGTCAACTCTCGCGACGACCTCCGGCGAATGGCGAGCGGCGACCGCGCGCACATCTCTCGCGGCGCTGACGCGATGAGCCGTTCTGTACACGCGCGCAACACCGCTTCTACCGCCACACGATGGCCACAAGGACCGACTACCACTTTGGTGAGTTACCCCAGCATATTGTTATTGACAACAGCAATCAACGTTTCAAAGTTATAATCAACTTTTTGACATTAACATTCCTACAAGCGATTTGGGCGGCTGTTTTAAAAATAATTGTATTTAAAGGTACTTATTACATCGCCACTAGACATAGTAATAGGTGTCTTAATATATAATTAGAAAGAAATAATATCCGAGCGGGATATTCTGTTTTGTATTGTTACAAAAGCGATCGACTTCGATACTCGTTAAAAATGTGAGCGTGAACTCTTGGCCCTCTTATCGCGAGTCGGCCCTCGCCGCGCTATGACACTACTACTTCGGTCGCATTGGCCCCATCTCTACCCAACTTGGACCAGTAAACTGATATCCCATTAGCTGAATATAGCTGTAATCCCCTTAGAGTTAAATTTTAAGAAAAATGCATCTGTAACTAGAAGTTAGTTTGAAGAAATAAGTTTATATTTTAATACTCTGGCTTTAATGGTCTATATATATTATTATATAAATTCAATTAATTTTCCAGTTATTACTTGAGTAAGTAACATAAGTATGTAGATTATACCACGATCTATATTTTAAGATCATAGATACTATTACCCTCTAGGATATTGAATATATAAAAATAAGAATTGCGCTATACAATTATTATTTCTACGGGAGTTAATAGGTTCACCGTTATGCGTTACCAACTAAGACACCGCTTTAAGGTATATAAAAAAGAACGAAAATTAAAAAAAAAAGGGATTTTTATTGAGAAATTGGGAAAAACGGGTCGAATACACAACTGTTGAAAATACCAAACGAACTTTATCATTTTATTTGTATAAATAATTAAGTGTACTAATAATTATAATAAGGCGAACTGAACAAAGGTTATGGTTGAAACAATAACATTTATTTTTAAATCGTCCAACTAAAATAGGTACCTATATTTTCCTCAATCTCGTATTATTCTTAACCAATGCATTGCATTTTGGAGTTTACCAGAAACTGGAAGGCTATATATGTATATATTCTCTAGGTATATATATTGTAAATATATAAAGAAAAAAAATATGTAGAATAAATGCGTGGATATCCACGTGAGAGCGTTAAGTAGTACCTATGTGTGGTGTAACATTTCGTGATAGGATAAGTAATAGATAAATAGATAGATGGGTGGTTTAGCCATGAATAGATGAATGAAGCGGGTAACCAGTAAGATATACAAGGCAGCCGTGGTTGGCGAAGTCGGGTTGGGTACGCCTTGTCGTACTTACCTGGACCAAATCCAGGAGGTGCTCTCACTCTGGGACAAGTTAAAAGTACCCATAACGATATGCATGGTGTATGTCATGAAAGTGGATGAAGCGAGAAAGGTACATCAGGACCGTAGCAAGTCGAGATCCCTGCCTTCGGGAAAAAGGCGTAAAAATATACCTAAATATGTAAAAGTACCAAACTTAGCGCGAACTAGACTGATATGATGACAAATTAATCTGAGACTCAACTTCGGAGTGGTTGAGGGCGTCATGAAGGTTTTTTTTATGGAACAGGGGGCAAACGGAAACGGACGGAGGCTCATCTGATCTTAAGTGATACCGTCGCCCATGGACACTCAATGCCAGAGTGCTCGCGAGTGCGTTGCCGGCCTTTTAAGAATTGGTACACTCTTTATTTAATACAATAATACGTTAATTTGATACAATATTATTGACTCTACAACAGGTGAATACCGCAGCATCTCATTTGTTTTTAAAAACAACATCTTATCTACTTATTTTTTTTTAATTAGGCGGTCGTGGATTTAATAGACATTATTTACACTAACCTGTCTCTTGGTTTGTGTGAATAATGTTTAAAATACTTATATACATGTGTGGGTCAATTGATTCAAAGAAATGAATGAGAACATGTTACAGCGCGCTGTGTATTGTACCGTGTCAAACTGCAATGTAGCACGTACAACACGAAGGCACTGGGCGGATATTATAAGTAGCTAGTAAGCTTGTCCCACAAGATAGTTGTTCGCCAATAAATTATAATACGATATTTGAATCCAGCACAAAGCAAACCTCGTGTGGCGTAGTAACGGAAAGTGCTAAAGAACGTAAAACTGTAACTAGTAATCGAGCTATTGTTTAAAATTATTACGTACTTCGAGGTTTATTGCTTGCGCTGTGCACGTGAGCTACCTATACCTACTCACATATAGTACCTACGAGGCTTTATGTCGCATGGGAATGGTACAAAATCAAAGGCAATTGTAGCGGCATGGTAGGAACAGCTGAGCTAGCACAAGGCTGGTGGAGGCAGTGGCAGTGGGGGGCGGCGGGGGCGGTGTCGAGACACGCGGAGTGGCTGCGCTTTATCATCCCGCGATTAGATAAAGCAAAACCGCTGAAAGCGAGGTGGAGGCAGTCAGTAGTAGCGAACCGCGCGCGCGCCCGCACCACGCTCCCACCGCTGCTTAATCCGCCGCCGTATTCAGCTCGTCCGCTCCCAGCACCGCTGTAAGAGCACGCAGCACGAGCGTGCACGAAGTGGTAGTGATGGACTGCTCAGTGTTATCCAACGCAGTTGTCGGCGGCAACCAATGCCAGTTAACAGCAATGAATCATTGTTGCGTGAAATGTCTGCGTTGGTGAGTTCTGTTGTGTTTCCTCTTTATTTCATTACAAAATACGTATTAAAAATGTGTAGCGGCGTGTTGTCGCAGAGTGCAGGCGGCGATAAGCGACCCCCCCCTCACCCACTTCCGCCCGCGCTGCTGATAAGGGCCGGTAATGCGCCAACCGTTACCAACATCAAACATTGCCTAGTTCTCGTTTATGTAGACCCTTTATGAAAACATTGTTTATTTATTAGGTATTAGTTATAGATACAAAGTATCTATGATATACAACAGCATACAATATCATATATCTACACAACATACATAACATCTACCATATTTCACAACACATTATGCATTTATAATAGTTTATACTTTGTTTGTAGTGTTTTAAATCTATAGATACTTTCTTCAGGTGGATTTTGTATGACAACTGACAATGTGCTGCAAATTTTGCATGTTTTATTACAGGAATTAGGTTTGCCTACGAATAGTCCCTAGTGAATATTTATCACCACCTAGAGAGCTACTATACACTGAAATGTTTACAGTATTATTAATTAACGAAACAGTATTCAAATCTAATTGAATGATTAACTAAGATTATTATTTATTTTCCCCCCTTAAAATTAGATTACTAAATATTCCTTAGTTTATTTAAATGTCTTGATAGTTGAAGCTTACATTGTATAAAGTTGACTATTGTATAAAGAAGGGAAGTACCCTTCAAGAAATAAAAAAAAATTATATTAAGTATTTTGAGAAAAATCGCAACAATGGCGAATATCAGATTGACAGACCTTTGCAGTATCGTTTTGAAATTGGTTTGATCATCTCACCAGAGTCCTGAGACAAAATTATTACGACCCACTTGCTTCAAACGGTTTCGTATGAGAACGACATTAGAGCCCTTTCCAATCGCCAATATTAATATTACCTATATTTTAATACACACTAAATATATCATTCACTGTAGTAACATTAACATTACTTGTTTCCACGGCAAAGCATAAAAGTTGTCGCGGCCGCAGGAAAGGAGGAAAAAAAACAAACGGCTCAAATATAAGTCTTTCCTCCAACTTTGATTTTCTCTTTGGAGTAGAGACTTGGGCCGTATGTTTCATGTGCGCAGGCGCTCATTAAAGATAATGTAGACGCCTGGTAGATAGTACCGGTGACCCCAGAGCTAGTGCCTTCCTCGCTCAACGAAAAGTATCGCAATACAGCGAGAAAACGCTGCTAGCATTGAAGGTACGCACGCTGCCATAGGGTCAAAACTTGTAAATTTGTTTTAATTTTCTATTTATCACTGCGAAATTGTTTATAAATGAAATAAATAATAACACTTTATTTACATCACAATATGACAAAACAAGAGGAGTAAAAAAGACAAATAATGTAAATGATGGAATTCCTAAGCGCTTTTCATTGCTTCAACCAGAAATAAAAACTAAATTCGATATTAACTAATTAGTTGTGTATATAATTATATACATATATAATTAGAAAGAGTACAGATTTAATGTTTTTCAATTAATGTTTTTATCCTAATCAAGTATAAGAAAAAAATCTTGCTTAATCGCAAAAAAATTGTTGTTTTATTCGTTTTGTTTCTCTTTAAATACATTAGGGAAAGTAACACTTATGCTTATATACTTAGACCGATCGGCGAGGTGTCGTGTCCAAAACCTTAACAAGTATATATGCTGCTATATATGTCCACATTCTTATGTAGGTAATGAATCTTCCTCTCTGACATTCACTATTCGTTTTAATTTATGAAACAAACATAGAAATGCATGAGCCCCATGACTCATGGGGAAGATTAAATACAACTGATAATCGTTGAAAAGTTTGAGACTTAATATAGGATCAATTATGTAATGTTATTTGAGAATTTAAATTAAAATTGTTTTAAAAAGCTCCTAACTTGTTCATAAAAAGTTATTGCTATTCTGTTATCACTTGTGTAACTTTGCAAATAAAACAAAGCATTCTTAAGTAATTAGTAATCGTAAATGAAAATGAGACCCATTTTTGTGTGGTCACAAAAGCTATTCAACCATTCTGTCAGTTAATAATAAAAATCAGATAACGCGTTCAAAATACGCAAATGGTTATCATATATGGCCACGTTTTTATGTAAACAATAGTTAAAGCCATGATGCCTCATGTTTTGGGCTGTATCCGGAACTGTAGGCTGTCAGCGACAGTGACACATTTTTATCCGACTTTAAAAAAGGCCTTCCCTTTTTCCACCTCTCACTTCGTATATTTCATGGTGTAATCACGGATAACTTTGTCGTTTGTGAACCGATTTTCATGATTATATTATTGTTGGAATGGAGATAGGGTAAATAAACAGAATCTGATGATGACTCTCCAGAGAAACCTTCGAAAATCGTAGTGGCGCCTAGTGCGTTTGTTATTTTTTTCATAAGTTTAAAATAAATTACTACTATGCAAGCACTATACATATATGTATATTGAAGGTCCAGACGTTTTCAAGAAAGACAGGTTATTTTTTTTGTTTTTTTGTTTAAAGTATCATTAAAAGGTATGTCTAAAATTTATATGTCATTATGGTAGGGGAGCCCAAGAGGGGATTTCGGGATTTACTAAAGCGCGGCAGATTAATATACAGGGGGATAGCTTGTACTCGGTTAAGTACCTCCACAAAACATGAGGTCCATATATAAGGCCGCCTGTGAAGGAGACAGGATCAGATTAGTAAAAAAAAATTGACCATCAGAAATTCCCGAGCGCATCAGATTAAGGTAGGGTGAGTTAATTACATCCTAAAAAGTGTATATTCCACTAATCTGACAATTTGAGAGTGACGGAAAAAAGGGGAGGGCAACAAAGTTGTAAAAAAAAACGTCATCTCGACATTCTCGAGCGTGGCTAATTTTTTTTTATTTTGAAGGAAATAATTCAAGAATAATGAAAAATATATAATCTGACGATTTCCGCAAGCCGAAATAACAAAAATTCGTCGATAAAGTTAAATGCGTGCAGCTGCGTGATGCCTACATTTCCTTAAACCGATCGGAATCTACTAAACGGCGTTCTAAATATTTCCCTCAAAATTACATTTCCTGTGAATTTGAACCGATTCGGACCGATACATTTTGAGAAATTTTGAAAAATCTTAAAAAAATAAGAAATATTTTTTTTAAAGTGGTTTCTTTATCGATCAACTTCAAAAACTAATCCGCCTTTGAGCTTGAAAAACCACGTTGATCGCCACTAAGCTGGTCAAAAGCGGTTGATTCGTTCGAGAGATATCGTCAACGAAAGAAACCCGAAAAAGTGTTTATTCGGGATTACTCCGAAATTTGTGGTTCGATCAATTAAAATTACTTATGAGGATGATAAAACTGCGTCGAATGCCGCCAACCGCGTGAAAATTGCTTGATCCATTCAAAAGTTATTGCGGTTTGAAAATTCCAAAAATAGTGTTCTATGAAACTTCTATCAGACTTTCGAGCTGGGAGAGCTCAAATGCATAGAAATGTTATTTCTTTGAACTCAGCGAGCTCAAAATATCAATTTTAAGCGCCCAGGAATGGAATTAGCGGGAAGTTGCAGGGATGGCCCTTTAGGTGAACCGTTTTTCTAAATTTTTTTTGTCAGATCAGGCGAATCCCTCTAGATAATCGTCAGATTATGAGACAGTACGTTTAGAACATAAAGATGAACCACATATATTTTAATCTGACGCGCTTGAGTATTTCAAAATTGCGATTTTTTTTGCAAATTACGAAAATGGCTGTGGGTTTGCGTCCCATCGAAATCGTCAGATTAGTGAATGAGAGCTTTTTTTTGGTGCACTTAACACTCCCTTAGAAAATCTGACGCGCTCGATAAATTTTTTTTTTCATTTTCAACCCTTAAATACAACCACCCGCATCATGCAAACGATCAGATTAACATACGTACATTATTAAAAATACGTAGGGCATAGATGCTATCAATATCTGACGCGCTCGAGGATGTCCATGCAACAGTTTTTTTTTACATATTTAACTATCTATAGCCGCTTCCCCCACCGATGAAAAGGAATTTATCATATAACATTTTTTTCTTCTTATTATCTAAGCTTTGCATCCCAATAGGTCTCTACGACGCTCGAGTAAATCCCCATTTAGCATCGTGGGCTCCCCTACCATTATTCAGTTATGATATTATACAGCCCCGTTGGTGTGGCGCGGAGGCATAAGTGCCAATATAGGAAACAAATTACTATATAATGCATTCATAAAAACAGTATTTTTTACTTAAAGAAGAAGCTACTTTATAATTTGTGAATCGTTGAACTTGCGTTGATAAAATATAAATTAATATAAAAAGATTTGATATAACTATGTAGGTACTAATATGATGTAGCAATTTATAAAACTTTGAGGATTTAAGATTTCAGTAAGGCTTATTAAAAAGCCACTTTTGAAAGTCAAAAAAAAAAAATATTAAAAAACAATTTACTAGTTGGCCCTTCCAAAATGAAAAGAATGTACAAGAAACTTCATACAACTATTTTAAAATAGTTTTTACAGTATTTTGTATACATTGATTTGATAATTAGGTATATGTGAAAACCATGTACCTAGAATAAATAACTACTATACTAAACTAAAATTAAATAGGCGAATGGTGTATTCAAAAACTACGCAGCAGATAACTAAATTATTATGTAGAATTACATGGTGCTCTCATATTCACAAATATTGCAACTATAGATTTAAAATTATGAACATACAGTCAAACCGTGTTTGAGGTTACGTCAAAGTTAATTTCTTATTAAAAAAAAAGAGTGTGTGTACTTATGTACACGCGTTAGAAGTTATACTTCTTTGGCGTATGGAAAAAAATAACTAAAATGCAGTAGTGATTAACGATAAAT